CATCATCACCCAAATGCTGGGACTCTCCTCACCTACGTCCCAATATGTCAAAGGAGGTACCGAACACCACTGCCATGACCGGGGGCTCAAAGAATGCACCGGTGCCACTACAGGGACGGAGTGCAAGAAAGAACAAAGCTCCTCTACTAGTGAAACCAGAGACAGAATCAAACTTTTTATCCCAGTCTGAAGATGGAGGACATTCTGAAAACTGGATCTAGGCAACACCTCTTTCCCAAAGTGGTGGTGTTCCCTTCATTTCTAAAATCAGTTCTATCTAGATTATTCATGAGAATGAAAGACATACTGCCATGGTACTCTGCAACGGACCAGGAGAGATACAACAATCACAGAAGAGTCCATACTCCCTCCGCTCCCCCACAGTGTAACACTCTGGTGTCAGTACCACCAATTTCTATTCTCTGCAGGGAAAAAAAAAGTGACTGAATTTTATCACCTGCTCTGATGCAGCACTACACAGCCCCTACCTGTTAAAAAGAAAATTTAGGGCACATTTGTTTTCATGCTCATATTTTCTCAAAGGCAGGCATCCGGGTAACATGATGTGAACATATGGGATGTGTCACCACTGATCCAGTAATGCTAGGGGCCAACTATTTTCTCACACATCAACTTCCATTAATAAATGAAGATGGGCTCTGCGCCAGTGACTCAGTTGGTTGGAGCATCGTCCCATATACCAAAAGGTTGTGAGTTCAATCCCCGGTCGGGGCACATACCCAATGGATCCATATTTCTCTCTCATGATGATCTTTCCTCCTTTCTCCCTCCCCCTCCCCCTCCCCCTCCCTCTCCTCTTCTTTCCTCTCTCTGTAAATCAATAAACATATCCTTAGGTGAGGATATAGATAAATAATTGACATTAATTTCCTTTGACTTCTAAGTTACCTTAATACTTGATTTGTATTTTTCGTATACTTTATTCTAGCACTTCTTTGCCCATCTTCATAATGACTTAATCTGAGAAACACGTGAATATTTAAATATTGAACAAAAAAATAATACAGAAAATATTTTGAGAAGTCTTATTTTCTTGTGTCAATTGTCTAAAGATATTTTAAAAATTGTTTTCCAAGAGTCAAATCCATTTTCCATTTTGTGTGGTATTACAGGGGAAGACAGAAACTGTCAGGACAATGGTTGGCAGCATTTTGTCACTTGACCCTGTTTATAGGGATGGCCCATGCTTCCTCCTCATCCTCCATGAAATGTCCTCTGCCTTCCTCAAAAACCTAATTGGAGCTCTTATGTTCTCTCTCCCACTCCCTTTGATAAAACCTACCCCCCAGTTCAGGATCTGATAAACTCATTCATTAAGAAAACCATCAGTTACTATTCCAGAACACAACTGTTTGACATTTAATAAGCTAGAAGAACAAATAATTTCTATTATAGGTTATAGGGCAAGAAAAGGAACAGCAAATAATTTTATCACCCAGACATGAATTTACATGAAACCCTTTCCAAAAAAAAAAAATTATGTCCCAGTCTAAACCCAGTTTCTGTTTCCTGAATAAAATTCCTTTCTCTCTCCTTCTTAATATCTTCATTGAAAAGGCCTTTGGTTCATAGGTGACATCAGCCCCACCAGTTAGAATAAGTACATAGCCCCAACTAACTGCAGGAAAGGCAGGAAAATGCAGCCTTGGTTGGGCTCTAAAGAGGAACATGAAACAGGCCTAGGTGAACAGGTAGCACTGTCTTTGTTGCAATGAGTTGACTACTTAACTAGCCTAATTAACTAGCAGGCACCTGGAAATGTTTGTATGTGTTAATAGCTTTAGCACCCATGATCACTCCATGAGATAGATATTGTTATTATTATCACCTCATTTTACAAACAAGGAAATTGAGATCCAAAGAAGTTAAGCAACTTACCTAAGCTAAGAAGTATCCTAACTGGGAGTCAAATCCAAGCAATAGGCTCCAAAATATACTATGTCATCATGATCCTCAAATATGCAAGACACAGTGTGAGGAACTGGTAAGAATACTGGTCTTCAAGCATTTGTCAGGCTATCACATGAAAGAAGGATTTACATAGACTCTATGAGGCTTGAAAGGACAAATAAGATGTAGCACCGACGGAAAATGTAAGTGAATGAGAGTATATTTGAGTGGCTACTATAAGCCAGGCATCATTCTAGCTGCTGCACATATACCCCATCTAAGCATCAAAACACTCCCACAAGTGGTTATTGTTATTCCAGTTACACATGTGAGAAAACAGACTCAGAGAGATTTAGTAACTTGACTAAGATATCATGCAGAACCAGGGCTTAAACCCAAATCAATCTGGAATCCAAGCCTATGCAATTTTCCACTGTATTTCCCTGCTATTCAATATAGAGATAGCAGATACATTTAACTCCATTTTGTAAATTTCTTTCTGTAACTAAACTTAATTTTGGTTCTAAGCCCCTATTTAGCTGAGAGAATAAATGTAATCTTTGCATTTTTGCCCTCCTCCAGAATTCATCAAATCCTCCTAGCAGTGCCAATATCTAGGCCAGAGGTCCTCAAACTTTTTAAACAGGGGGCCAGTTCACTGTCCCTCAGACCATTGGAGGGCCGGACTATAGTTTAAAAAAAACTATGAACAAATTCCTATGCACACTGCACATATCTTATTTTGAAGTAAAAAAACAAAACTATAGTTTAAAAACTATGAACAAATTCCTATGCACACTGCACATATCTTATTTTGAAGTAAAAAAACAAAACGGGAACAAATACAATATTTGTATTTGCATGTGGCCCGCGGGCGGTAGTTTGAGGACCCCTGATCTAGGCTCTCTCAGCTCCGTAGCTGACTCTCCATCCTAAACTAGTCCATAAAATACTTTTTCCTGACTTTTTCAAATTTAGCTTTATAGTCCAGCCCAGCCTTTATAATTTCCAGAATTCAAAAACCAGACACTTGCCTCTTATCTGCATTCTGCTGAGGTGTCACTTTCCTCCCCTGATTTCCAGATGAAGTAAAACTATCAGAGGGCAACAGGAAATACCAGGAACGGAAAGCACATTGGTTAATTTATCACAGTATCACCTGTTATAAAGACGGCCTTTTGACAATTAAAGCCGCTAAAAATGAAATGAGCTGTATGACACAGTGAACTTCCCAGCACAAGAAGTATTGAGCAATGGAGAGATTTAACAGGTATATGGGGAAGGAGGGGATTGATTGGACCTAGAATATTTTTACCTATATAAAAAGGGGAGAGAGAGAGAAAGGTAGAGAAGTTAAAGCCAGACAACCCTATAATTTCAAGGAGGCCAGGGCAGATGGAAGAGGGTAGGGAAAGGACAGGTTACCACAAACCTCAATACTGACAGGATAATTAAGAAAAACATTATAAACCACAAAGGAATAAAATAACACCCAAGAATATGATTTCCTAAGGTCCTCTGAAATAAGATAAAAGTCTGTCCCCCTTGCTGAGAAAGGGGAATGGAATGGTAATGGAAAAGGTGAACGTGTGGAAGCATATCCAACAAATTCTGAGTTGCAAGAACTCTGCCACTGAACGCTGCCACTCAGGGACACCTTGATTGTGATCTAAATCCTCAGAGTCTCCAGGAGGGAGAAGGCAGGGTGTGCCAAGTGAGAAGACAAAAAAACAGCGTGTATCCCTCTTAGAGCCTAGGGAATGCATCCTGATTTTTCTAATAATATTGTCTAAACTTTTGTCAGAGAGCTAATAATAAAATAATAATAATAAATAATAATAATCAATTTCTTTGAAGAACTCCCAGAGGCTTCATAAGATATGCTGAGCCACATTAATATGCAGCATCGTTATATACAGTATCACATTAAAATTCAAGACCCTTCAAAATTCAATATTATTTAATTTCAAAGCAGTATTTCAAACCAAAAGGCACGATGGGAATTGGGAGAAAAGGGGGAGATAACAATATTCTCTATCAAGGAAAGAACTAAGGTAAAAAGGGAGGGAAATGGAGAGTAGGAGTCTTTTGAATGTTTTTAATGACAGCTTCATTTGTGGTATATTATAAATTTCTGTCCCTGTCCCAATGCAAGAACAAAGGACCATTTTACTTGCTTCCTATGTTATTACTTCAATCAACATTAAGGTAAAAAGCTGTATTTCTAGCTCTGACCTTCCACTTAAGCCCTAGACCCATATGTTGCATTGCTTGTTGGTTTTCCAAGGAAACCACAGCTCAGAGAAGGTAATAAATTCTCCCAATGTTACATGGCTGGGAAGTGGATCAGTCAAATTGTAATACAGGTTTTATATGAACTCAATAGTCCTCACATAAGAGAGAGAGAACACAGAAATTAAATGGCAAGAAAAGGCAATGCAAAGAATTTTAAAAAGAAAATGTTCTAAGTTCTCCGGTCTCAGAGTGTTTTCCACATTTCTCATCAGAATAGGTGGTTCTAAGTACTGGGGTCATTCTAAGACCATAGTTGTTGCCTAGAACATGGTGTTAAGAAAGGTTAAGGCTAAAGGTTCAATAAACAAACATTAATTAGTTTCATTCCACTAGACATCCATCTACTAAACTCCTAACCCTAGTGAACCATCTCACAAACACGTAGACCAGGACACTGTGGACAGAGGCTCAGTTTTAACCCATCACCACCGTGACAAATACTCAAAGCACTAACCTTCCTAATGGGGCTTGTACATCTTGGTATATGAGAGCCATTACAGTCAGGCTCAGGGCTCAGCTCTGCAAACAATACAACGATGGAACACCCAACTAGAAAAGTGAAATGTGAGGATATTTCATGTGCTCATCCCAGAGGATGAGGATTTCCCTCCTCCCGGAAATGGGCGAGGACCAGCTGCCTTCACACTGTACTCAAGCACACCCTAGGTTGGGGTTGCCCTGGGGCAAGTTGTCGGTACTGAGGACTGTGGGCTCAGCCTATGACTGCAAGCTCAGGAGCCGGGACTAGAACAAGTCCTAATGCCCTCGCTTCTGCCAAGTCCTGCATGGTAGCGTGGTGTCATAAAACATGCTTGGCCCACTCAGTGGAGGTAGTCCAGTCCCAATAAAGATTGCATCGGCTGCTAAACAATGTTTGGAGTTCATCACCCAGAGAACTAAAAGAGTTACAATTCAGGAACAGCAGGCAGAGAGCCCAACAGCAGCAGCCTTGAAAAAGACAAGGAAGAAAAAAATGTAGCAGCAACTCACTGGGCATGTGACTTGAGCCTCTTGGCAGGCTGCCTGTGGGGCTGGACGGCCTGTGGGCAGAGAATTCACATCTTTCTCTCTGCTGCCAAAGGCCAAGAAGACCCAGACAGAGGAATACCAAGTCAGATCCTTCATCAAGCTAATAATCAATGAGATCTTCATAGGAGAACAATGAATGAATAACCACAATGCGCATCTGTTTTACACAGGCATGTGACCCATCAGCATGACTCTAACTGGGCTTTATGACTTCTACAACCTGGAGCAGTAATATATTAATGGGGTATCAAATATGCAGCCCATGCAAGGTTTCTCACCTGGTCGGCAGATTGCTAGACAAAACTCTGAAGCAAAAACAAAGGACAGAGTTCAGCTTAACAAGTCAACTGACACTAAAAGCATATGAATTGAGACACTGGGCCAGGAGCAGCTAATACAAAGATAAATAAAATGTCTTTGGGGGAGATTCAATATACTGGGGGAGGGAAAAAAGCAAAGGGAATGTCAATATAATATGGCAATTGCTGGAACAGTATGTATATCTTAGTATATGAAGATCACCTACCAGAGTTAAAAAACCGAAACCAAACACATAAGCATAGACCCCCATGAGGACCAAAGGGAAGAGTTAGGAAACCACCTAGAGATCACCGCGTCTAGATTTTCTAATGGAGGCATAAAGGGGGTGTGACTTGCCCAGATTCATGCAGATTTTCCATCAGCAGCAAGGCCAGGGCTGGTACTCAGGTTTCCAGTGCTTTCTACCATCGCAGCACAGTGTTCCAGAACACAGAAGACGGGGCAAGTTTCCGGCTTCTGAAGCTGAGTGAGTGGACACACTTTCAAACATGCAGACTCTGAAGACAAACTGACTAATGACTGTGCCTGGGGACAGAGGGAGGGTGAGGGCTGGATGTCCTCCGGGGTGGGAGAGCTGGAGGACAGAATGGCATTTGCATGTGTATGTCAGTAGCCAGAAAAATTAAAAGTATTTCTTCTGCAATTGGCAGCAAACATTCCCAAAGCAACGGTTTGCTAAAAGGTTGTTTCAGTGGTGTTACTAGTTCTATACTCCTCCCCTAGCAGAGAGCTATTTCATCACTTATGCTAAGAATGGGGAGATGTCTTGCATGATGATTTCTTAGCGACCACTGAAATTAAGTCATATTACCACATAATTAATTAAGTCTAATTCAGAATGAGTCTGCAAGCTCTTTCTCTAGCAGAACTTCACTATGGTCTCATGAAGTTCAAATAATAAGCACATAAACTAATAGAAAGTTCTACCCAAGTTACTTTACAAACTGAAACACAAGCCAGTTGCAATTATAAGGTAATGAGACCAATGCTACACTTAATTCACTCAAAAAACATTTGCTGACCATTTCTGGGTCATGCACTATTTTAAGATCTGATTTTTTGGGAGAAGATGGGACGAAAGTTGAGAAGCTAGACAAAGAAAAACATAAGATGAATAAGAAATATAATATACAGCCCCTATCCAGTGAGGAAAGCAATTATTTCCCTCCTCCAGGAAATGGGTGAGGACCAGCTGCCTTCACATTGTACTCATGCACACCCTAGGTTGGGGTTGCCCTGGGGCAAGTTGATTCAAATAACTGTAAAGCTGATCCATGTTATAAAGCAGTGCCACTCCAAATGTGGCCCATGGACCAATGCCACCCTGCCAATTGCTCACTATTAGTCCATAAGAAGACAACTATGTTCAGAAATTGAGAGTAAACATTTAGGAACCTTTAGAGTAATTTAGTAGTAATCTTAGGTCTGTTGAATCTAACAATTTGAGGCTTCTATATTATATTTTGCATGTATCTATTACACTTCATTTTTCCAGTATTTCATTTCTACTACATTTTACAAAATTATCAATCCACAAAGAGTTTGAGAAGCAATGCAATAAAGTGCTATAACCGAAGTACTCTATACTATACTATGCTAGCGAAGATAAGAAATGGCTTGTGAGATCTAAGAGGGGCTCCAGAGATGAGATAACCTTTGAGCTGCAAAGGATTAGTCAGAGATAGTGAGAAGCAAAAGGCACCCCAGGCAGAAGATGAGCATCTGCAAGAGCCTGGATCATAAAAGAAGATGGTATGTTTATAGCATAAATTTGAGGCACAGTAATAAATAGTAAAAGGGCAGAAAGTTAAGCTACGAAGAGATTCAGAGACTTGTATGACTCCAGTTTTGGCTTTTGGCTTTACCCAAAACACAAGAGGGAACCACTGGATAGTTTCATAATTAGAAGGATGTGTTTCTATTTTCATAAGTTATTCGGCAGCGGTGTGGTAGGTAGATTGAAGGGGGAGAGACCAGCAGGAAAAAACAGTCCACTTATGAACACAATGGAATAATCTATGGGAAATTGGGAAAAGTGAATGGCCGAGAAAAATGTTTTAAAGGCAGGAATGTATAATATTCCTTACTTATCAATATGAATCATAATCTAATTAGATAGCTGTTCACTTAATTCAATAAGTGGCCTGATTATACAAGTAGGAGATTAGTAAGTATAAGAATGATAAGTGGGTTACTACAAAACAGAAGACATATCAGAATAAAATGGGAAATTCTAGAATGAAATGTGAAAGTCCAGTAAATATAAGTGTGGTAAGTGTGCTGCTGAGAGATGGGAGAGATATCTGGGATGAAATGTGAAATTCTAAAATGATATTGGGCTTTAATAATCTAAGTAGATTCATGTGTGTGTGATGAACAAAGAGTTGTAACCAGCACATTTCCTTTGCACGTTCTATTGTACACAGCAGTAATTTA